ATGGTGCAGCTGTGGTCGTAATTTGTCAAGTAGGACATGTCTCTTTAAATGAAAGTTCAACCCAAAATCACAAATTGCTTATGTAATTGTTTTCAGACATTGGATTTGTGTTGCCACTTGTGCTTTCTATAAGAGTTTTGGATGAGCCTACAGCTCCATTAGGCTGCACTTCCTGTAGGCACAACAGTGCTTTGAACTAAATGCTAGCCTGAGCATGCAAACAAGCTCACAATGCCAATACCAACATGGTTAACATAATGTTAACCGTTTTCACCATTTTAGCTTGGCCTGTAAGTAGCTAACATTGATAATTAGCACTAAACTCAAAGTACAGCTGAGGATGATGGGAGTTTTGCAGGTATTGATCCAATAATGCACCAGATTAAAAGTCAGGGGTTCACCAAAGTGATTACATTTCACTCAGAGAGGAATATGAATCTTTGTGCCAAATTTCATGGTCAGCCATCTTGCAGTTGTTGAGACGTGAAAAGTCAGGGGATCAGTAAAGTCTGTAGGATTCATCCTCTGGGGACCATGAATGCCTGTACAAGATTTAATGACAGTTTTTCCAATAGTTGTCAAGATATTTTAGTCTGAACCATAGTCGTGGACTGACCTTTTTCTAGCATGGCTAACAAGCTCACCTGCTGAATGGGGCCTTTACCTTTTATACCAATAATCCATAAAGTCAATTGTATTATAGAGGCACAGGCACACCATGGCATTTATAAGCTTTGCAAATCGAAAATGGAATTAATCCTCCCACAAATGTAATAACTTAATGATTTAAGTGTATTTTCGAAGTGGCAAGTGATTGAACGCAGACTATGTAGTAATTAACAACATATTGAATAAATACAATGAACTGCCCAGCCTCACAGCATACATGAACTACATCTGAATTAGATTTGCATAAAACCATGTGATTACTGACCCCTAAACTGACTTATAGAGTAGGTTCTATGATGTATATTGGACAATTATAGGCATTAGCCATACCTTCAGCGTCCATGAGTGAGCCAGTGACCACAAGATACAACGGTCTGCAGTGCAAAAAAACTACAAATGCAAGAAAAAGAAAATTTGCTCATAAAATACTCATCCAAAATAACAGAAAAATGTTGTGTTATTTCAAAAGATAAACAAGAATCGCGAGTTTACAATATATGCAATAATTCAAGCTAGTAGTTTCAATGGCTGGCGCAAAGAAGGACTTTTTTGTGGGGTCTGACACTTTGGATTTGAATATTAGCAGCAAGTGTGCAACTCTCCCTCATTTCCATGCCGATATATGCGTGTGTGGGAGGAAGAGCGAGGAGCGGGAATGGAGGTGCAGAGAGAGACTGAAAGTGAAAAAGAAGTGGGAGAGAGAATGAGTTAGTTAGAATTAGAGATGGAGAGAAAATATTTTTTTCCCCTTTTTTTTCAGAAATAGAGGGACAGAGTGAGAGATGGAGGAGCTAAATTAAAGTAGAGAAAATCAGCCAGGCATTATCCCACGACTCCCCACCACACACGTCCATCCACACACAAAAACTCAGGGGATATCCCATTCGGTTTACAGTACAATTGAATTGATGGTTGTTTATTTAATCAGAGGTCAGCCTCAGTGACTTTACATTGTCTTAATCTTGTCAACAAGATTTGCTTTGGACTGAATGCTCGAACAAGATTAAGCACGTATAAATGTATCCATCTGCCTCTTCCTGCGTTCACATGTACAAAACTCTCAAGGTGTGTACTGTATGTGTATGTGTGGGTGCGTTTTTGGGTGGATATTTATGTGGTAGCAGTACTTACCTTTTTGCAGAGACCAGATGCTGTCTCTTTGAGGTAGTTTTACTGCCATTTTAAAAATGTTTGGCAAGTGAAAAGAGGCTACAACAGATGTGGGTTTGCGTGGAGCTAAGATTTGCAGATGGTACAGTGGGATGCTTGTTTTTCTTTACTTCATTCTTCACAAGTAAAGAAAACGTAACTTTCCATGTTTATATGTGTGTGCCTGTGTGTGTACCAGAGTATTGATGTAGCTGTGGTTGACATTGCGCCAAGACAATACAGCTAATGAGAACATGTGTGGATGGAGCTCAACTGTGGTTTAGTCTGCCTATCACGCCTTGAACTCTTGACCTGCTGAAAGCAGCTTGTTTCTGAAAGAGAACCCAGACGACCAATTTTCTATACTCGCTTATTCCTATTCAAGGTCATTGATACCTATCCCAGCAGTCATTGCACAAGAAGCACGTAAACATCTGCGACAGGTTATGACTGCATAGTTATGCAGTGAATGCACACAGATGCATTCACAGTTGCAGGCAGTCTCCAGCCCACCTGACCTGTATGTTGTTGGACTGTGGACCAGAATATTTGGATGAAAGCCACGCAGCATGCAAACTCACACACCGCGGAAGACCACAGACAACATTCAAGCTTTTGTCCACCTGCTGTTGCAAATGGGAGCAAGATTTCTACACACGCCCCCAGACGTCTTAGCACATTTCTTTCTGCTGTGCCGCTAAGGGCACCACCTGGCTGGAACTGCCCCATATACAGCTTTAATTTAGCTCTGAGGGTCAGAACGGTCAGTTGTGGACCTATTTCAAACAGCCTGCAAATGTACATGTATGATATCAGGAGCCCAAACTGACATTAAATACAATAAAATGGAGCTGTAAAGTGGAGATTTGTTTTAATGTTCAGTATATTGGTCTAAAAACGGATTTACTGTCATATCTATGTTTTTAAAATTTGTCCACATCCGATTACTGGCATTAATTATACATCATAACACAGAAGAAGGTGAGGCTGTGGCAGACCTGGAGAAAAGAAGCTTGTAATAGAAAAGCAGAGCAGTAAGCCTGAAGCTTAAGTCACCTCCATTTGAGTGTGACATGACTCAGTAACTGCTGGGGCAAATCTCCCACTATGGGGGCACTTTAATTGGAAGTAGTAGCTTCTCCTGCGCTAGTGATTCTTCCCTGAAGAATATCTCAGTATGCTAAGTAGCTTGCTTTGACTTTACCTTTCTTGCTGCATTTGAGCTGAGGCACTGGCAGCGGTAGCCAGTGTTTATGTGGATATTGAGCTGTTTGTTTGATAAACTGTTGGGTAAGCTGTTTACATTCATTGAGGAGGAAAAAATACAGTCCCATCTACAGGCACGGCGTTTCGCTCTGAGCACACTTCTCAGAGAGGAAATGTCATCAGCAGATTTGTCCGACCGCTGTGAAACCGTCACATCCTCCGTCTGGTTTTCTCTTCAGTTCTCTTTAGTTCACTTGTCTTCTCTCTTTTCTTGTCCTGCCCTTCTTCATCATTTCCTCCTCCTAGGTGCTCACTCGTCTTCTCTCTCTTGTCCTATCCCCTCCTCCTCAAGCTATTCTCTCCCCTCCTCCACTTTGTCCCTTTCTCTGCTGCTCTTACTTCCTCCTCTCCGGTCCCAGGACATCTGTAGAAAGCAAATGGGACACATGCCAGAACAAAAAGGCCTCAGGTGGGAGAGGGAGCTGCTTAGACAGAGAGTCAGCTTATTATTTGTTCTCCCCCTGAATGATGTTTCTCTGAGTCCAGTGTTTTATCGCTCTCTCCCCCCCCCGTGGCACGGTCACGTCGCTCTGAGTCGAAGGGTCAGCGGGGTCAATCTCCACCCAGCTCTCTGTCGCTCTGTCCGAGCTTGTTTACAGCTTCTACTGTCGACATAGATGAGACTCCCATGGGGGTACAGAGCGGCACTCATACACTTAGACACACATACTCAAACACTCAGCAGCCAGAGCTATAGACATGGTTGTCATGGCAACAACATGTCCTGCCTCTGTGTCTGAACACCTATACAATATAGGCACACAGAAATGTATGCAGCAATGGAACAAACATACACACAAGAGCAAATATTTGAGTTTTTGTTGAAAAGTACTTTTTGCTCCACGCCAAAACATTAAATCTTTCAAATGCCGAATCGTACTGCTCAAGGCCTCACCTGAAGACACCCCTTAAAGGAAAAGGTGCCAATTATGAGCTGTAATTGCGCAAAATCAGTGTTTTTTGTTGGACCCCAAAAACATTTGCTGATGCGACCGTAGCATCTTGCTTTTATCCTCTCTTGGCTTGAATGAGCTGTGATTAACCAGAACTGGGTCCTACTTTAACTGCAGAAGAACATTAGCAGTCTGTTGAAAGATTTAATTTGGAGACGGAAAAATCCGAAGCAGGAGATGGAAGCGGTAAGATACCCCGTGCCGCCTCACAGTGTAGCCAAATGCACGTACGAAAATGAGATGGTGAGCAGGTCTTACTCAAAACTTTACAAAATGTTATTTGTGCTTTCTTGTTCGATGATGAATAACATTTAATCTCTTGTTTATAGTTATGTTTGGGAATTTACAAGAGTGAATTCTCTTATCATGGATTATATATATATATATATATATATATATATATATATATATAAAAACAACTGTCAGCAATTTAGAGATCATTTCTTGTCTTTTCATCCTTGCCAGGGAAATTTGTCCTGCACAAATGTAGAAATAAAAACTAACACATGCAGGGTGTTAAAGTGAAGCTTCGAGACCTGACACTCACAGTAACTGATCTAATGGTCTTGCTGATGGTAGCAAGATGGTCCCCTCACTCTAACAGCACAGGCTTTTATAAAACATGACAGTTGCTTTTCCTGTCTTCTTTTATTAAAAAAGTTATTTGTAGAGCAAATATATATATATAATAAGGTTGGGAGTTAATCCAACTGATCTTTGTGAAAGATGTGAGTATCTGTGTTTACGGACTGTGATCCACAGTGTTTTTAGTCTTCTGTTTGTTCAATGTTGTTCATTTAAATCCTCTTTGATCAGCTCTGGCAGTTCCACTGTCTGCAAACACGGTTTTATTAGTGTTTACTTTTGTTTCTTTATTAGGTTATTTAAGCATCGCTCACTGATTGCAGCCTTCAACCTCTAATCCTTCTTTTTCTCTCTTTCCTTTTCCATCTGTCTTCTCAGAATTTGTCAGAGCTGTTGGCAGTGGTGCGTCTTCCTTTCATCCACCCTTCCTACCTGCTGAACGTGGTGGACAACGAGGAGCTGATCAAGTCGTCTGAGGCGTGTCGCGACCTGGTCAACGAGGCCAAGCGCTATCACATGCTGCCCCACGCACGGCAAGAGATGCAGACGCCCAGGACTCGGCCAAGGCTCTCCGCTGGTACACACAAAACTCATACACATAAGCAGAGATAAACTGATGTGCATAATCTTTGGCCTGGATGACCTGAGAGCAACATGGCAGTGACATGATCTGCCACCCACCAGTGCACTTGACCTAAAACACGTTGGCAAGATCCTTGCACCCACCCACACACACACACACACACACACAAGGAGTCTCCACATGGAGTAGCAGTGAACTGTATTGATTTAAGCCCTCAACAGTAAAGCAATGGTTTAGAGCTCCATAATGTTTTCCACACAACTACTGTAAACACTTAAAAGTATACACGGGGTACGGATCATATTTCCAGATGTTAGCACAGGTTTTTCTTTCCAGAATCAAACAAATGACTACTGAAGCCAAGCCTGATTGAGGTTACCATGAGAAGTTGAAAGTGGCCAACCATAACGGCTTCCCAGGGTTTTGCGGGCTTCTGTACCCCAGCTCTTTTACAGCAAACGCAGCACATAAACATCTCCTAACAACTTCCTAACACCAGCTAGGCGCAGTCAGGTCTGTCCTTGCTTTCAAGCAACCGGCCAACCATTCACTGTCCGACTGCCGCCGATGTCCAAGCTATTGAAGACCGTGTTTGTTTACATCGTTAAAATCAAAGAATCATTCATGGAAATTGGAAGGCGCCTGCAAATTGCTTTTGGCCGTTAGATTTTTCCCTGAGGTCGGCCAGGACCCCTCTCTTTCCCCCTGTAAAGAGCTGCCTAATTATAGTGTCTGCATGGTATTATGAGCTTCGCACCAGCACCTTACCATTCGGCACAAGTTATTTTCTGCTTGGTAGGATAAAGATAATTGCCTAACAAATGGCACTTTATGGAGAGATCAGTTTACTAGCCAGCGCTGTTGTCCAGCCAGTGTGTTTATTTGCCAGTAAACAAACATTGGGGGAATTGCGTTAGGTTAATATTTCTGCATCTTTAATTGCCTGTAATGCAGTTGCATGAGGCTTTATGAAGAATCATTTGCCTCTTGAGAACAGACATTTGTGGCATTATATGCGCTCAGCATCATCCCATTACTCATCCTCGATCCAGTAGTTTCTCTTTGTTCTCAGCAGTTTCTTGAAGCATTTTCTGTCAAGGCCCATTTTTAGTGTTTGGTATGTGCATATCTTATGCATCCTACAGCCCCATTATGCAGGCTGAAGTGTGTATTGATTCACAGCAGCTCGTGGCTCTGTGCAACAGAATTATATAAATGCATAAATGCTACAGGGATGAATACATTTATGATGCATTATACCCCGATGGCTCTGTGAATTAGAAATATATGTAAGTTCTCTCGATCAAGTTTTGAAATCCTCTGAAGCTGAATTCTTATTGTGACTGACTATCTGGGTTGAGTATTTTATCAGCGTGTTTGTGTATTGGTTGAAAGTAAAGTGTGAAAAAATTTGTCCTGATTCGCTGTACAGATAAATATGAATGTACATTGACATTTTGTGTAGTGGTTTGTACTCCTGTAAGCCTGAGTGTGTTTTTTTTTTTATGCCTGAGCGTGTGTGTCAGTGGTCGTGGTTGTCTGTGTGCATGCATGTGTTGCTCAGCCATCTGCTGCATTGGACAGGGTGGGCGCTGCACAGCAGGGTGCATGGTCACTGGGATTTAAAGGTAGATGTGGGGACTAACACGTGTACATGCAGGACAGCAAGAAAGATAAAGAAAAGGACTGGAAGGGGAGTTTGAGGTTGTTGGGGGTTGTGTTTGGCACACAGAGGACGAGAAAGTGAAGAGACGTGGAAGAACAGGAGGAGAGGTCTAGATGTGGTCAGAGGAAGGGAGGGAGAGAAGGAGCCAGGGGGATCAGAAATGAAATTTGAAGGGCAGACATTTGATTGAGTTTATTCCTTGAGCATGTGTCTACTTGTGTAAGCAGTAAGTGAGTGTGTGGCTGTGTGCGTTTGTGTGTATTTTAAATGTGTGCAAGCAGATGGGGCACCACCTGAGCTCGGTTGATAAGTCTGTCAAGCGGAAAAAGAAAGGAAAACTGCCATCCGTGAAGCACTTCTTGCTGAGCGCAGTCAATCTGTGAACTTGTGAGTCGCGTGCATATGTGGGTGTATTATAGTGGGTGTGTTTGTGTTCATACAGTGTTTGTGTGTGTGTGTGTGTGTGTGTGTGTGTGTGTGTGTGTGTGTGTGTGTGTGTGTGTGTGTGTGTGTGTGTGTGTGTGTGTGTGTGTGTGTGTGTGTGTGTGTGTGTGTGTGTGTGTGTGTGTGTGTGTGTGTGTGTAATGTCTGAGTGCCTCACATATTCAGTCTTTTTACTAGTGATAAATTTGTGTTGAATTACACTTTTTCAGCCTATAAATTTAATTTACTCCTGTAAAATAGATTGTGAATTAACATTTTTACACTCTTTACATTCTTACAATCTGTGATATACTCACAGCATTATTAGAGACCAACCTATACTAGATTATTAAGGCAAATATCAATATTTGAGGGGGGAAAAATATTTGGTATTGGTTGATGTTTGTTTTTTAACAGAACACATACATTAGGATGTCAACAGTTTGCCATTTTGGAAAATACTCTTCATTTAATATGTCGTTTAATTTGGGGGTATGCAACAAATGAGGCACAATGTCTTAATTAATGAGCTTTAGAGGTGCTAGTAAAAATATTTTGTTACCGTCGGACCAAGCCAGTTTAGCTTTCCTCCCATTTCCAGTCTTTGACAAAGCTAACCGCCACCAGCTAACCAGTAGTTGTAAAATGTCTAACTGTTCCTTTGAAGGAATAAAGACCCTAATTGTGAGGGACTTTTGAAAGTAAAGGTTACTTGTCAGTTCTCTGGTGGAAAATATAATACCATTTTGTTTCCAAATTACCTGAAACATTTCTGCACTGTGATTTCGTGATACTTATTATCAACATGTACAAATACAGTCATACCGATATATCTATGATAAGCTAGAATAGGCAGCAACTGTAAATACAATATTGACTACAGTTGTTATGGCAAAGGTGTTTGCTAACAGTGGCTACTTTACAGCAAACAGAACAAAGTCAGCATTCATTTGAGTTGTGTTTCTGCCGTAGTAATGATGAATGATCAGTTTTAGCTCTGTTTTGTCTCAACTCTTGAGGCAATATTTGTCACTTTAGCTGCTAAATGCTCCACTATGTTCACTAATCACTTATCACAGTCACTCACTCTCACTCTGTCTGCCATTTGCTGCTGGTAACAGTAAAGTTACGGGATATAAAACCAAAACATTTCGTTAAAAAGATGCTAACAAGCTCCATAGAGCTGAGGGTAACTGCAGAATGTAATGTTCCCTATGGGTTCTTCACTACAAGTGGCACGTTTCACAGTACACGTAGTCTTTTTATTCATTGTTAACAAGGAACATAAATTGTTGATTCTGGTGTTGGAGAAAAGCAGTAGTGTTTCCACTGACTCGTTTCAATGATTTCAAGGGGAATCCAGCCGACCCTGTGGCTGGCATTAAGAAGCACTATAGAGAGATAGTCTTTTCTCTGATGGCCTCATGTGCTTATGTTGGTCATTCAGAGCATCATTAAATTGGTAGTAGGTCTTATATAGAAATAACCATTTGACCCGTTTTAAATATTATATTATGATGGTAAAAACCTGGAGAAATGTGCTTGCAAAATTTCTTATAAACCTTATTTACCAGTTGCATGTTTTTGCCAAATTAAGCTCATATATCATGTCAAAGATAAGAAAGCCATTAATATGAATATTAATGGACTATGAAGATGCACTCTGCAGTGTGTTCATAAGATGGAATAGCATGAACTTTTTTGAGTTTAACAAAAAGGCCGACATCTTAATGAGTACTTGCTCCATTAGCTGTAAGCTCTAAAAAAGTTATTTTGATCAGCTGAATAGAACCAGCCAGATGGTTTCCACACAAACTTTAATTGTCTTGTTTTACCAGGTTTTCCTTTATGCAGAGTCCTGCTGTGCTGCATTGTTGTAATTTATTTCCTTAAAATGGTTTATTCATGGTACATTTTTATCAGTCACTTTGACAGGCCCTGGCTTGTCACCACATTGGTTCACTTTTGCTGTGCAGAGTTTATGGACCTGGTTTATAACAAAAATATATGTATAACAATAGTGGACAACATTTACGACAAGGCAAGAGTCATAAAAGTCTAAATAACCACCCCACATAAAGTTTATTTTTGGGTTGACTCGCTGACTGAAAATGAGACAGTCCACTGTCTCGCTTTGCACCTACTCTGCATTCTAGTAAGTTGATGCTCAGCTCATTATTTTATTAGATGCTAATTACGGAGCCAAAAATATATATTTAACTTAGAAATTAGCTGTTCTGTAATCACGAAATATAAACAAAATTTGAATGAAAGAAAAGTATTTTTCAGTTTAAAAAAATATATATTTTTTGATATAATGTGTACACTAGTTTTACTTGTTTTTACCTTATGTCTTCTTATACCTTAGTTTCCTGCTGCAGCAGTGAACTTTTCAGGAACGTAGGGGGCATGTAGTTGATGTGTTTTGTTAACAGCCTCCTCTCTTCCTCATTTGGCCAGAAAAGAGTCTTGGGTAGAGTGAAAACTATGTGAGTGTCTCATAATGAATCCACGGTGTTTTGCGTACTGTATGTGTATCCATTAGCTGCTAATTGGTTAATTAGAGTGTGGATGTGCATCTGATTAGCTGTCATTAGACTTTCCAGGGGATCGGGGGGATTAAACAGCCGCTGGTGCTGGGAGTTTACTCACAAACCATTTTGTCTTAAGTTGTAAGATGCACTGGATTTGTTACATCTATATGTGCGTTTGTGTGCTTTTAAGGAGCAAGAAAAGTTTTCTTTGGCGTACATGCTGTGTGTGTACGTGCACGCTCACCGAGAAAAACCATACATTATGTTCCCATTTCCTTCTCTCCACATGTGACGCTGAGCTCGGCTCAGAGGAGGGTGGAGAGCGCCAGGGCAAACTGTTAACTCAACCCAGCCAAGTGGAATAGCACTCA